CCACACACTTGTTCTCACAGTTATGTTACCACTGTTAAAGCAGCTAGGACACTTGCCCCCACACAGGCGCAGGTTACTGTGCTTATTTAGAATACCAACAAGGGTGGAACTGGGACCTTTGTTAAGGGCATTGAGGTTTAGTGCAGCAAGGCCAGAGAGCTTTTAAGTTCACGGAGGAACACAAATCAATGCATCCTTTATAATTTTAGTTCTTAAAATGTGTTTAGTGTGTCAGTCTTTAGTTTTTAAAACATGTTTTTGTGCTATGTTCTGTGACCAAACAATCCCTATATAAAAAAAAATAACAACTGTTTACATGCCATGTTAATTATTTATACGTGATCCAATTGATGGTTTCTCAGAGTGAAAGAAACATTGGCTTCAATAAGATTTTGTTGCTGGGGAAATGTCAATGTGTTTGGCATGTATCTAGATTCCAATATGTTATGTACTGGTGCTGTTTTTTCTGTTATATTGGTAATTATGTATCTAGATTCCAATATGCAATGTACCTGTGCTGTATTTCCTGTTGTATTCGAAATTCTCTGTTGCTGGGATGAGCATACCTGACAGAAATAAGGGAGGAAAGGTTTCAATGGAATATTCATCCCATCAGTGAAGTGGCCCAGTCTGCGGTGGCAGGAGTCTGTGTCGGTGGCGGTGGCTTGTTTACACAGTGGTAGGTAAGGAGGCAGAAAGAGCAGATGCAAGCCAGCGGTGGACTGACTCAAGGGCCTGACCTCATGACTCAATTCTACCAGCCGGGCCCCACCTTGTAAAAAGCTCCACAGCCTTAGGATTAGAGCCCCAAACTCTAGGCCGAGAGGTCAGGACCAAGAACATAAATTTTTTCCTCCTTTAAACTGTTTCTCTCAGGTATTTGTCTGGAAAAGTCTAACACATAAACCAAGAAGTCACCGGTTAGCATGTTGGATTCACTGAACCGGCGGCTTCTGCTAATGGAGGGGATAAAGTCATGTTCTTTGTACTTACCGCTGTGGAGGAGACCTCGGGCTGTCACTGAGAACTTACTAGATTTGGAAGGAATCTGAAATCAAAAAGAGAACGGTGGCAGCAGCTCAGGACAGGTTTATTCAGGAAGAAAAAGATGCAGGCAGGCGGGTGGGTGGGAGGGAGGTTGGGCAACTCTGCTTTGGCCTCAGTCTGTCCAAGCAAGGTGCTGCCCACTGTTGACCCTACATCACTTCATCCTGTCTGTAATGATTCTCACAGACACACCCAAAGGTGCCTATCCCAGGCCTATTCCAAATCCCATTAAGATGATAATGAAGAGCAAGCACCAGGGCTGCAAACATCAATTACCTGACTTTCCAGAACGAAAGCTGTTTAGAAGCTGTCACTGAGGAAGCCGCACCTGAGCAGTGGTTGGGAGGGATGAGGCCAGAGGGTGAGGCAAAGGGACTTATCTGTGTAGTAAAATAAACTATGCACTGCTCATGAGTGAGAGTCCAGATTATGATATGTATGGGTATTCTGCATCAAAACCCAGAAGCATGTTGTGTATTTTAAGAATGTCTTTTAAAATTCAGTATTATTTACATAAAATCCACTTTAGGGCTTTAACACTTAATTTCATATGTTAGCATCCCTAGGCTTTCATGCTTGAATTAATCACGATGAATGATGGTCGTGTTTTTGTACAATCCAGAATGCTGAGGATATATATTAACCCCGTGGCTCTTAGGCACTTGTGAACCAGGATCCCGTGTTCTAGAAATGATTTTGACTCAACATTCTGACCTGAAAAATCAAGGAGAGGAGGAGGTGTGTATTGTGGTTTCAGTGTGTATACACGACCTTCAGGGCCTACCTAGTGGTCTTCTTCCTCTCATCCACATTTTGCTGGAGAAATAGGGGTTTCTTTGTATTGGCTCTTAGTCTCATTAATAAAAGAATTTAGAAATGCAATTGGAAGGAAGCCAGAGAATAATTTTATTGGAATTTATGAGAATGAGCAACAGGTCAAGCAAGCTGTAAACCTTGACAGCTGCCTGGAGGAGGAAGGTGGAGAAGAGGAAGAGAAAAAAATCTAAGAGAACCAGCCTGTTTTGCAGTGGAGGTAAACAAGTGGTTGCGTGGTGGAAGGGATGTGGGTCTTTAGAAAAAGCAAACCTAGAGTGTTAGGGAAGGCATGTTTATGCCTCTGGACTGAAAGTAACGAAAAAGTTTTAACTCTAGAATGCAGGGAAGTCCACAGACTAAGTGGTACCTCATGTGGTGAGCAGTTGTGTAGGAATAGGGGCTTCTGAGAGGTATACTATCTCATTAAAGGGATAATTATTCCTCCCGTCTCTGAGAGGTGGTAGACTCATGGCCACACGATTGACAGGCCCAGTTGAAGTAACTCTTAACAGAGGAGACAAGAATATTCAGTGTTCTATCCCCCAAACAGACCAGATAGTCATGTCATCACCAAGAGCCAGAGATCAAACTCAGGTTTCTTTCTTTTGTTCATGAGATGCTAGCTTTCACTTAAGACGCCTCAACCAAGCCCTGTATCTCTGCGTTCTTTTCAGGCTTATCTTAAAAGCTGAGGAGGCACAGTTGTAATGTTTCTTGGGTTCAAGGTGGATAATGAGGAAGGAGTCCAAATTCAATGACTCAGGAGTCTGGTAATTTCCTGTAATGCACAATGCCTTCTTAGAATTCCTGGCGCTCCATAGACTCAATAAGAGGACCCTAAGCATAATGGCATATGGAGATAGGGCTCATTCATGAGAATGCTTTCCAGGCGCTGTGGTGCGGGAAATCCATCCTAAATGTTTGCCCATGTTGAGTAGCGTTGCCCGGCGTGTGTGTGGTGTAATCTGTTAGGGATGGGGTAGGTGGTGGGACCCGAACAATGATCAACTCTAGTTTCTTTGGCTTCATGGTAACTCTCATTAGTGACATGACTCAACTCTCACATGCACTTTCTGCAGGTAGTGCTCATGCAGATATCTGACCAGGGTACTGATGGGAAAGAGGGGAGCAATGGTTATTTGTTTATGAGCATTCTAGTTATGAAAATTTGCAGTCAAATTTTATTATTGCTGCTACTGTTTTATGACTACTACTATTGCTGTGATTCTTCAGTTTCATATTCTTCCCCTCATGGTTGTGTGTATTCTTTCCCCTACTCCTCTTCCTCATCCTCTTCCTCCCGAGGCCTCCTTCTGTTTTTTTTTTTTTTTGTTGTTGTTGTTGTTATAGAGGAAGACACTTGGAGCAATATCCTTAGTTGTCTTAGTTTTCCTTGTCGTTTGTTGTTTGAAAATATAGTTGATTTCCAAACGTACTTATTGTTCTACGTCAAGTTAGGAAGACCAAAGCCAAGAAGGGGGTCACACATTAAGAGTTCACAAACACACAAGTGTCATTGCTGCCACGTTCTATGCACTTGAGTGGTAGCTGGTGACTCCGTTATCAATGGTGTCCACAGAGACATATGTACAGGGTTGGATGATGGGTCCATAGAGGAAATAAAAGAAGATAGTTTCTTTCCTTCTGTCTCCCCCAGCCTCCCCAGGGCTGTCTGTCCCTCCAGGGCCCTGCCTCCACAAGAATGTTAGGTGTGGTCCTCACTTGTCTGCTCCACTGGGCTCCACTGTCCTTCTTCAGTGATGCCAGCCATCAGTCACAGGTTGCCAGCAGTCTACACTGACACTTTGCAAAGGCATAGTACTCCCAACTTTTCCCATCTGCATTCTTTGATATCTTTTGTTGCTATGAGTTTTTGTGCTCAAAATATGTTTGGTGTCTCAGGTAATATTTAGTTTATTAAATTATATATATACATATATATACATATATGTAGATAGGTAGTACTAAGTTCAAAACACGTGTGTCTTAGCATGAAAAATAACAGCTAACACATTAAATGACTTGTTAGCTATGTGATTCCAATTCCAATACCTGAGGGAAGAAGAAAGCACTGGTTTGAAGAAGAGTCTGTTGAAGAAAGTAAATGTTTACAGTATTTAGAAAGCTTAAAATCCTTGTACGCTGCATGGCACATCTGCTGCCATGCTGGTTACTACCATCAAACAGAATTATCCAGGCAGGCAGCTCTTCCTCAGGCCTGGTCTCACAGAGACCTCTGCACATCCCAGGTGATGCTGGCAGGAGTGACATCAGGGGCCCACACAGTCATCTCGCTCCCTGTACCATGCTTGGGTTTTAATCCTTGGAGATAAGATAGGCCTCAGAAAGCTTTTCACTGTGGATTTAAACGTGTGCCCAAGATCATCAAGGCTAAATTTTGTGATGCTTAGGAGCCAGACACATTGGGTGCGCTGTGCCCTAATTGGCGGACCTTGGACTGGTCACTGGCTGTGTGTGGGTTTTCTCACCTGTGAAGCAGGGATAGATAAGGGCTATCCCTACTTCATACGGCTGTAAAGGTTAAGTTGAGTGACCACCTGTGGTGTGTTCATTAGGGCATAGAGCGAGACCTGTATTGTTACCAGTGACCCATGCTGTCGTCGTTGCTAGTGGTTTGTTGTTGTTGTTTCCTGGATGTGAATCTAGACTTGTAATCTTGCTCCTGAAGAGTTGGGTTAGAAACCCAAACAGCTCAGAATAGATTGTGCCTAGAACAGAGGCTTAAAGCGACCAGCCATTGAGATGCAGCCTCTGAGAGTAAGGATAGAATGCTTGATGTAAGAGAAGAGGTGAACTTGGAATGTTAAATAAATGTGTGAAAAGGTTAGAAAACTTGAGGACAGTGCTTTCGTTGTTCAAGTGTACCACTTAAAATGGGTGTAACAGAATACAGGCCTTGATTTATGTTATAAGCCCTCTTTTTAACAAGTGTTGTTGTTATATTGAGAAGAAACGGTCTAGGTAGTTACCCTGACATGTTTAGGGGTTTACAATTTGCTTAGCAACAGAAGTATTTACAATTTTGCCTGATTTAAGGAGTCTCCTGTTCATACCAGGGAAGTCTCCAGAACAGCTTGCTAACATTTCTCTCCTGTATTTTGAATTGAATCTTTTAGAAATCCGCTCTCAGGAGGAAGTGTGCAGTCTGCAAAATCGTGGTTCACACAGCCTGCATTGAGCAACTAGAGAAGGTAAGAGAGCGCCACCTGCTGACGAGTGTGTTGACTTCAGTTACTTGCCAAGATCTGGTGTCAGTGTCTAACTTTTTTGAAAAACAAAAACAAAAATTGTGAGTTCAGTATGACCGCCAGAATAACAATGAAAAGACAATATATAAAGGTCATTCATCATCGTCTTGTTTTCTTTGGTTTAATTTGATATTATGTTGTGTTGAACTTTGGGAAACTTTGGCCTGCACCAATTCTCTCTCCTTCCACAAGATGTTTCTTTAAAAGGAAAAGAAAAGATTGCAATAAGCCTTTTAAGATTGTAGCTTCCATATGTTTCTCTCAGTGAGTTCACATCTTCCTAAAGTAGCTCTAAGGGAGAGCTAGCCAATGCAGCCAGAAGCAGCTCCCAGACTCTGGTGCAGAGCTCGCGGGCAGCGTTTCTGCTGGTGCAGCATGAAATGTGTGGCTGAGCTGGGCGTGGCATCCCAAGGGTGGCATCTCGTCTCCAGAAGTGGCTTCTGAGTAGTCTGTTCATCTACCATCTGGGGGAAGGGAAGAACTTGAACAGAGAGCTGCTTGCTGCTCTCATTTATAATTCTTCCTCCATGTCCAGGCGAGACACTGTGTGGTATCTGTATTCTCACGCTGCCCTTGGCAATCACAGTGGGACAGTTTTAGCTTTGTACAATATTTGCTTAGCTTCACCAGCACCTCCAGCTGCCGTCAACGTATATCTCACAGCCATGACTAATACTTGGAATGTATTTTTTCTCGTGTCCACTCTACTTTACAGTGGAGCAAAAGAGGCCATGGGGACACCTCCCATCCTCAATGCACTGCAGTTCTGAGTCCTTTTACAGGGAATATCTGTGCATGTGTTTCAGTGGTTATCACAGTAGTTAAAACTTCTCAGGTTTATATTTTCTACTAAAAAAAAAACCAAAAAACAAAAAAACAAACCAACCGAACACACCCGGCTAGGTTCAGCTGCCACGTGTTTTTACCTTTGACTTTGGTCTTCATTTTTCAGCTTCATGGGCTAAGAACATGTTTGTTTAAAGTTAGGATTCACAGATGAGAATTCAGGAATGCAGACTGGAGATGTGAAATCACTCTGCACCTCTGTGGATCATCTAATGAGATGCATCGGGAGAGTAGGAATATACTAGAAAGATTCCTTATTCTTCATGGGCTTGGTTTTATAGTTTTGATGTCTACTACTATTGGTTGGGTTTTGGGTTTTTTTTTTGGACGGGGGGCGTGTCTTCGGGTAATTCTGATGCTCATCACTAACATAACGTACTTTTCCTTTCAAATGGCAGATTAATTTCAGATGTAAACCAACATTTCGGGAAGGAGGCTCCAGATCACCAAGAGAAGTGAGTTTTGTGAGTTGTTTCAGAGAGCACCTTGAACTCTCATAGGTACACCGAATCTTCCAGGGATTCACCTAGGATTGACAAATGAGGTCTGTCCCCCTTCATTATACAGCAGGTTTTCTTGATGTACCAATAAATCCAAAGATTCTCCAAGACTCTTCCGTATACTGCACTTTATCTCAATGGAGTATGTTTGGGAGCCAGAGTTTTAATGCATGAAACGGAAAAGTGGGATTGGGGGAGTGGTAGAACTCAAGGTGTAAGAAAACAAAATTCTTTCTCTGTGGTTTGTCCAATTTCTCTTCTGGTGTGGGTTCAAGTGGTTCTGGGGGTGAGGGGCAGCACAGTTGTTTGTTGGTTATTCATGCCTGTGCTGAAGTTGGGCTGCTGATTCCGGAGCCAGCCTTAGTGCTGTGGACCCGGGACACTTACTCTCTCTGCCTCTACTACTATTTTCATTTGTGAAGTAACACACCGATAGGAGGAAGTTAGGTTTGGTCCACAGAGCATCACAGACTCTAATGGAGAGCAGTCTGTTTGGTAATGGGAATGTTTTTGGAAGAAGTCGATTTGAGGATGAGTCTGATTTGAAGATGCATTTGCAAGGTGGTTGCAGGATATTTGATCACATGGTAGGAGCTGGCATGGAGGTAGGATTGCTTTCTTTGCTTTTCTGTGGAGGAGACAGCTACCAAGTTCAGAGAAAGTGAGGAGAATTTGCAGCCCCCTCCCCACCGTTATTATTCTAGACAGTCTGGAACTAGGTCCCAAATTGTACTCTCTAGTCTACAAAACAAATACTTGCAAGACACAGGATCCAACCTCCTTAGAAGACAGTGCGGTGTGCCTGGTGCTGTCCACTGTCTTCCAAGCACCGCCAGATTACATATAGTCTTTAAGAATAAGAATTCCTGGTTAACTTGCTTTCTTTACTTTTTTTTTTTTTTTACATTCCCAGTGAGACGAGTTTCAGTTCTACTTATAGATTTACCCCTTAGAAACCTTCCCAGCCGGTGTACTCCTCAAATCAGCCTGAGGGGTGGGGGAAGGAGGAGGAAAAGGAAAAAGAGGAAGAGGAAGAGGAGGAGGAAGAGGAGGAGGAGGGAAGGAGGGAGAGAGAGAGTGTTGGTCAGATAAAAGGCTTCCTGGGAGATGTGGGCACTGACTGAATATTTCAGGACTTATCTAGGGCAAAGGGTGAGATGTGAGATACAGGGTGACAACCATTTAGACAGAAACAGCAGCAGCACACGAGCCCAGTTGAGAGATCTTAGCAAGAAGCATGACTCGGGAGCCGAGTTAGAGCTAGATAATGACAGTCCTTGGAAGCCAGGCTGGAAGTCAGCAGGGACTTGCAGGTGCACACTGCAGTGTTTAGTAGAATATATTATGCTGCCTGCAGTGTGGAGGGAGCATCAGTAGTTCAGGGTTGATACTATTGGGGACATAGAGACAGTTTGAGCAGCTCTTGTCATAGAGGTTAAGAAATGATTGCGTCTGAGCTGAGAGAGACGTGCTTGGGTGGGATGTGTTTGCAGGTGTAAAATTGGCAGGCGTTAGGATGGGTTTTGGGTGTAGCAGGGAGTTAAGTTAGCCTTACAGTACATCAAGCTTCTGTTGAGGAAAACTGATTAGTGTTTGGAAGAAGTCGATTTGAGGATGAGTCTGATTTGAAGATGCATTTGCGAGGTGGTTGCAGGATATTTGATCACATTGTGAACCCCAAGATTGTGGATTGGGTGTGGTGTGACTCAGCCCTAGCATACACCTTTAATCCAAAGATCTATTTGTAAACGGGATTAAATTAAGGCCATGATAGATCAAGAGGCCGAGCAAGCAACCAGTTGACAGAGAAAGGACGGAAGAAAACCTAGGAAAGAGAAAGGAGAGTTTTGAGTTGAAGGATGTTTAAGAGAGAGTGGGAGAAGGGGAGGAAAGGCTTTTTCCTGTGAGGACATCAGTGGAATAGGAAAGTCAGCTGGGTACTTTGTGCTAGCAGGCTTTTACCCCAGCATCTGGCTCCTGAGTCTTTATTGGTAAAAACTGAACAACTGGGATCTTTGTTTTTAAAACCAGAGGGGATGAGTTTAGTTGTAAAAACATCAGGTTCGAGGTCTCCCCTTCATCCCCAGATGGATTTGCCTAGTAGATAAATTGTGTGTGGGAATGTGAGTGTGGACCTTACAAACAAACAAACAAACAAACAAACAAAAAATGGCCAGCGCAGACAGAGTGCTGGAGTGCATGGAGTGAGGGTAGCAGTGTCTGAGAACAGAGAGGATCATAACAGTTTGAAACCTAGTGAAGAGAAAGACATTGTAGAGGCCAGGCAAGGTGGCAACCAGTTGCAGCATCAGATAGTCAGGTATCAGATACTGAGGTAGGATTCCTGGAGTCTGGGACTTTGAGGCTAGTCTGGACAGTATGTGAGATGATGTCTCAAAAACTAAAAGGTGAAAAACAGAGTAATATTTTATGATAATGAAAATCAGAGGGTCGAGGAACAGCAGGGGAGGGGCATGGAAGGGGTTGGAGGTGGTAGTGGTGGGAGAGAATGTCACCCACCCCCTCCTCTGTTGGTTCCTCCCGCTGTTTGTACAATGGGGCAGCAACAGGTAGGGGAAAAATAGAAAGTGGCCCTGTTGATCTGCCTTTGGTGACCCCTGCTGAGTGGCAGTGCTGGCTGCAAGATCATTCAGGGGCAGCCCTAATGAAGATGCTTTCCTTAGAAAAGTCAAAGGTGAGGGGGTTGTGTTCTTGAGTTGGAGGTACCAAACTTCCAACTGTGGGATGAATATGTCTCCCATTGCTTCCCTGTCTTTTCTCTGGTCTTTCAATCTGCCTCTCTGTGAGTTACAACTGCATGTAAAATGTCTCTATTGCAAGTCTCAAAAAGGTTTCCATTGGTTGTAAGGTTTCTTTGCTCTTGAAAACTGGACCTTCATTTAGATTCTTGCCAAGGACTTGGTCTCTCTATTCCATTTCTGCCCTGTCTAGAATATTCCCACCAGCAAAAACCTGCTGTTGTAGTTTCCATCTGAGAGAAAAGAAAAACGTTAGCACTTCTTACCTACCACTTCTGCCCCTCTGGTGTTCAGTTCTGTGTTCATGGCTAAGCTTCCAGAAACTGTTATCTGCATGGATTATTTTTGGTATGTCATCTTCTAGCACATTCACTGGCTCTTGTCTAGTCTCTGTTCAGTCCATTTCCTGAAACTGTGTCTGTCAGTGTTGCTAACAGTCATGTAAAATCCAGTAGGCATTTTTCTATGCTTATCCAATCTCACAAAAATGCCCAGAATATTCACAGAATCCATTCTCTTTCAGGACCTCTTCTCTGACATCAGGGGCTCTCTTTAGTCTCTTTTGGACCTTTTCCTTCCCTTGACCATCCCAGCCAGCCTTCAATGCCTCTCTCCTAGCCTCTGAATCTCTGCAGTCCCGCCACTGGGCTTAGCGTTTATCTGCATTCTCTGGCCTCTGCCCACTGCCATTAGGAGACCTGACAACTCCTGCTTTTATATTTCTTTCCAGTTTACATTTTTTTGAGATTCCACTTGACATGTCCATTTAACATATCATGGTCTCTGAAATATAATAGATCAAGACCCAAACTATTATGACTATAAAACATTTTTCCCCTGATCTGTTTTCACCTTATAAAATAAGCTGTCCAGTTGCAAACACTGGGCGAGGCTCATATTGATTCTTGCTCTCTGGTCTTTTCAACCACGAATTCATTTGTCAGTTCAGTCAGTTTTATTTATAAATGTTACTTCATATCCATGCATTTGCTTGCATATCTGCTGTCAGACGCTTTGACTAAGAAATAATATTTCCCACCATGACCACTGCAGCACTTCTCCATGATTTTCCAGTTACTTCTCCAACTTACTCAGAATTTAAGGAGCATGGTCTTTTTTTTTAAACTAAAAATTAGACCAGGATCTTTTCCACTGGCTTCTATAGCATCCAGGGCATGAAAGATCTATGTAGTATGCCCATCTGTGTAGGATTCATATGTCTCAGCCCTTTCTAGCTGCCAAAGAGACATTTTGTAAGTTCCAGAGGCATGTGACAAGGTATTCCCTGCTCTTAGTATTCTATGGCAACATTCAAGATCTCTTAGCTTCTTAAAACATTTCTAGCTCAAATGTCATATCTTCAGAGGTTTTCTTAGTCAGTCCTGCGTGCTATAGCCAAATATCATAGATGGTTTCATTATCATTGAAGAGACTGTTTTTGTTTGTTTGTTTTTGTTTTGTTTTGAACAGATTTAGTGGCTGGAAGTCTAAGTCTGAGTGTCAGCATGGTGTGGTGCTGATGAGAACACCCTTGCAGGGTTCAGAATCCAGCCTTTTAATATCTTTATATGGAGGAAGAAGACAAAGGGTCCCTGGGGTCCCCATTACAAGGTGTTAATTCTGTTGATGAGGGCTCCATCCTCCTGACCTAAGTATGTTGCAAAGGTCTCTTCTCCTGGTCATGATTTCCAGGTTTAACATTTCATCACATGAATATTTTGGGGTAACTCATCAGCCCATTGTTGAGCTCTTCATTGTTGATTCCTGTGAAGATGGAGCTTAACTTTTTTTGCTAAATATCTTGTCCTGTTTATTCAGGTCATGCATGTGTGTCCTAATTATTTATCCTCATTACCATTGGCTTGTCTGACAGTATCTCTCTCCATTAGTGTGGACCTTAGGAATTACCCATGTAATTTGTCCCATAATCATCATGCCAGAACATAGAGGGATTGAGCAATCAATGAGTATGTGCTGCCTGGATTTATTTGCAAGAAGGTTCACTTCTTGCAAAATTACAATCAGCACTCTTAGCTTATGAAGGGCTTCTGAAGATGAGGCTTGTGACCACAGCTCACTCACATTTCTTAATTAAGGGACTTTAAGTCGGTCACTCAATGTAAATGAAAGAATATTCTTGTTAGAATTGGTTTGCCCTGGGCTCAAATCCACCTCTCCTTTTTCCCTACTAATTGGTCAGAGTCTGGAGGCTCAAGATTGCTAGTCACTGAGCCCTGCCTTTGTAAGGCAGCTTCTTAATGAATATTAATTATTTGTTGGACTCCTAGGTTCTGCCTTTCGGATTTCAGTTTTCTTAGTCATAATCTGTATGGACTGGATTATGATTCCTAAGAAATTTTTTCAGGCACTCAGTGAATAATATTCTGAATTGAATTGATTGTTTGAAAGTAACTGGACAATTATGTAATGTATTTCTGCTCCTAATACTGAATGTGAGCCTTGAAATACTGTATCAATGATATTTTAGCACCCATAAGTAATAGCTTCTTCCTTGCCCAGTACTCGAAGTGGTATATAAATAATTCAGAAACTATGGTAGACAGTAAGCATATATTGTTTTAGAAGCCTCGGTTGGCCTTCTCAACAGTAATATATCAACTCTTACATGTGCATTGTAAGGCTCTCAAATCAAATACCAATTCACCGATGGAAGATGTAGGAGTTGTGGTTTTCGCAATGTGAAAATCTAATTTCAGCCCAACAATTCAGGAGCTCTGCATAGTCCTCTAAAGAAAAAAGTGTGAACAATCTGATTTCAATCTAATAATCCAGGAGAAATGAATAACAGTCAGAAGAAAATGGCATGAAAATTGGAAGTCCGTGGGAAAAAGGGTTAGAGACCAAGGCTAGTTTGACGATAATGGCTTCTCTTTCTCCTTATTGATGAAGATAGTTGAGGGTCTTCTTTCTTCCAAGTGCTAACCACATGGTTTAATTGTCAAATAAATAAGGTTTATGATCCTCTTCAATTCAGTAAACGTTTATTGACTATTTATTTAGTTTCAGTGACGTTTAAGCCACAGCATAAATTTGTATTAGGTTTAAGAAGAACTCTAAGCAAAAGGATGTGTGGTGTCTCAAATCATACAGCTAAAGCTGGCTGCAAGTTTCTCAGCTTCTGCTATAGCTGCGACTCTTATCGGTTCTTTATCTGTGCCTTCCCTTCCTGTTCCCTATCTGATCTCAGGAAGCAACATCTTAATCATATCTAAAGGCAGAGTTGCATAAAGTCACAAAGCATTTCCTAGAAAGTTTTTTAATTTCATAAATGGACTGAACTTCGTCATGCCATAAAGTCTGCTTACCATATGGTCTGTGTTGAGGTACAAATGATCAAGGCGGCCACCTCATTTCTAAGTCACTGTTGATTTGTGGAAATTATTGGTTTAATCTTTTGAATGGAGCTGTCACTAGCTAAATGATCCCATGAGTCAGTTGTGATTTCTCATAGATAATTGCATCCAGTTCTCCCAACATTTCTCTTCTTGATAGTCACTGAGTGATTTGTAATCTCACCAAGTACAGGATTTATCTTCACATCAACAATAGTGTTCATTTTCCTTCAGTTCTTACTAAATTAACAGCTATTATGTTAAATATTCTTAAGCCTCTTAATTATTATTTGACATTTTGATATATTCAACATTTCCACTGTTGTCACTGCAGTTGTTTTTTGGAGTTTTGTGAGAAAGTAGTGAATCTAATCTTTCAGAGAAGAAAGGCCAAGGCCCTGAGGGAGGAGAGCCTGCTCCTGGCCACTGAGTGTGGGAATTCTCCTTCTATTCTTACATTTTAAGTGATCTTTCTATGTGGATGTCTTACATTTTATTAAGTAAAATCGGATCTCCAGAGGAGGTGCCCTGTGTAGTGCTAGTTGGGGGTGTACTGTAGTGGGTAGAGACTCCTATCCTCCCTAGTCCTTATTCATAAGCAGGTATTGATCTCTAGAGGAGGCCTCAGCCTCAGCCTCAGCCTCAGAATCACCTGCCACATGAGGGGGATGACCTTCATTCCAGGTCAGTATGGGTTTTGCTCTGAACAATAAGATAAACACCATAAAATTTGACAGATTGTTGCAGTTGCTGTCTTGAAAGTCACAGCCAGCCGTGGTCCATGTAGATGTTGAAGCTTACATAGTCATCGGGCTTTACCTGTGCAAGCACAGTCTTTTGAAGTTCTTCAGGGAGAACAAATAGTATTGCTCAGATAACCTGATGAGCGTTCACTGAAAGAGGATCCCAGTACTAGGCAACTGAGACAATTCCATTCTAGTTGCTCTCTAATGAGGAGGTAGACATGGTCTCTAGGGCTGGAGGAGGTGTGGCAGCAGTTGCTATGACAGCAGGAGAGGAGGCAGGGAGATGTGAGGACACTAAGCTACAGCTTGCTGATCCACATTGAGACATTTCAGGATTCTGACAGCGCTGGGACTTTCCTGGTGCATCCCTACGAAGAGGTGTCTGTATCCGTTATCATCCTCATGAAGATGAAAACACACCTAAAATACTACACCTAAAATATTATTAAAAGTGTGAAGGACTTAGTAAGGACTTACTTAGTAAGGGTTAGCTGTTCTTATTAGTTTCTTCCCGAGGACAATATAAAATTGTGTCTTTGTTTTCCTGAATGTCAGCAGTGAGCAAAGCAAGATGGACATGACATTGATTCTTGCGACCATTCTGTTTCTACAGCCTACTAGCATCAAAAGACCATTATCCCTCCAGGGGCCTTGTTCTATTTTACTTTAAATTGATCTGACATTATTAAGAAAAATAGCAGTGACATTTCAGTATTTAAAATGCTAATATTTGTTGGAGGTCTTCTTGTCACCTGTAATTTCATGCCTTGACACAACCAACCAACAAACCAAACAACCCTCCTTCTCTTTATTTGTCCCTCCCTCTCTCCCTCTCACTGTCTCCTCCCTCCCTCCTCCCCCCTCCCCTCCCCTCCCCTCCCTTCCGTCCTCTTCCCATACTGGACTATTTTCTCCCATCAAAGTATTAACCAGACCCAGCCCTGCTTGGCTTCCACTATTAGATAAATTCAAGATGGTGTGACTCTGGACTGATCTGCTTTCTTTGTCCATACTTAGAACAACACCTAAAACCTGTAGTTGGCAATCTGCTGGCAACATTACATTAAGGGTACTGTTAAAGGCAGAATGTGGTCTGTGGCTAAATTCTATGAGTCATACTATTATCATGGAAGGAAGGGCAAGAGTCAAAGAGAAGGAAGCACTTCATGTTATTAGTGTAAGAGAGATGAGGCGCGCCAAGGCCTCTCTTCGTCTTCTCTGCTGTGGATACGTGTCCCCCCTGTAGTGCCCTCTGACAGCTAGAGGGATGGGATTGCTTGGCTCTACCCCAGTGATGGTTATCTACTTGGGATGAAAAAGACTTTCCTGCAGTTTATGACAAGGGTTGACCTTGAAAGCTAGTCTAGTTGAAGGTGACCCAGGATGGTGTATAAAAAGCTGTCACCCACACACCAATCCTCTTGCCCGCCATATCTCTTTTCTTTGATGTTTCTCTTCTCTCACTTAATGTAGTGATTCTCAAATCAGTGTCCCACATCAGGAGATGATGCTGAGAATTTCATCTTTTCAGTTCCTTGTAGCTAGAAGGTTTAGTGTTGTGTGGCATGCCCTGCCATATGACGCATGTGCATTTGTTTCATTGTACTGGAGATTGTTCCATCAGTTCTTCAGATTTTCTCCACTCTTTGGGTTTTTCTTTTATGAGCCTGAGTCCCCTCCCAGCTGAAGATCCTTTATCCCGTTCACACTTCTGCATGGACTGTAATATGAGACAGTGCAGTGAGTGCAGTCTGCTGAGCTCTGGGCACTGGGAAGACAAGGATGAAGGGGCGGGACCACTGTGAGTGGAGAACGAATTTCTTTTATTCTGCGTGTATTCATGTTTATTGCTGAACAAGCCACACCTACACACGTTTGCTTTTGTGCTTCCGTGGGCTTGGATTATAGTTTATAGAAATCTATACTCCAAAATGTCCAAAAAATGATGACTACTGAGGACTGTAAATTAAAATGTATTCATTTCACTCTGTTTTCTCGCAGAACTTTGTGCGTCATCACTGGGTCCACAGGAGGCGGCAGGAGGGAAAATGTAAGCAGTGTGGTAAGGTAAGGGCCCAGACACCCACAGGCACTACAGCGGGCTCCTCGGGCCTTGGCAAGCACCCAAGGTAGATGAGTCCTATCTTTAAATGTGATGTCCCCTGCATTGTTGGGTTGTAGTGTGCGTGGGGGGTTGTCAGGTTGATGTGTGTGGGTCCCACCTCTGTCTCACCACATGGCTAGGGCCTCACATGGGTGGGAATTTGACTGTGTTCACTCCACGCTGGCACTGGGAGGACATTGGGCTATATGAAGTTTCTGGACTCTGCTGGGGGTGGGGGAGCACAGTCTGAGGTCCTGCGGGGAGCCAGAGCTCTTGGCTTGAGGGTCCCCAGGCCAAAAGGCAGCCGGGAACCAGCTGGTTCTTGGGGTCCTGGCCAAGACACTGCTGGGGGGCTGTGAAAGGGCTGAGAATGAAGTGGGGGCATATGCAGCTGAAGAGGAGAGGGGGAGGGATAAGCTCTGGCAGTGTACTTCGGGGATGAGAGTCTTGGTCACAGTGACTGGTCAAGGTTGGTTCGGCTTACTTGCTTGTGTTGGGTGGCTGGTGGTAGACCAAGGTAGAGAGGTCGTCAGCAAAAGATTAGACAGCGGCTCTGTGAATTGAGGCCTGTTCCACTGTTCCCCACAGCGGACCCCAAAGAAGAAAAACAGTCCATGGTCTTAAGATATTTATTTTCATGGTGAAAATGGATGAAAAATATACCCTGGTATTTTCAGGGTGGGCCTGATGTTAAATACCTTTTGCAAGGAGGAGGGTCTGGGAAGGAAAGTTTAATTGGCTATGCCCCTCTGGCCTTCAGGTGTCTCATTAATATGAAGATCTGTCTTTTGAGGCCCAGCAGCCTGTAGTCACACTCCATACCTGTGGAGGGGCTAGTGGGTGTTGTCCTAGGTGACTGAAAAGCACGGATTGATGGAGGTCTGTGGGGAGAAGGGAGAAGATGTGGAAGAAGAGACTAACAGGCATGGTAACTAGTTTTGGACTCAAGGATGGGATTGTGGTGATGCTGTGGCTGAATACATTCCTTTCTTTGGAACAACATCATCCTGGAGAACTCTATGGCTCACATCACTCAGCGAGCGCTTCAGGTCATAATAGAGTTGGAAGAAGAACCCATAAACATGAGAACCCATAAACACATGGTCTTTTGCGAGGAATATTCCCTGGATCCATATTGCATCTTCTTTGTAGCCTCCTTTTATGGTGGTTTCGTCAGCTGGCAGGAAAGTGCTGGACTCTTCATACCCTATGATGCTGTGGCCTTGCCTCCTTCCCTGGCCAGTGCTCTTAGGCAGCATACATAAATGCTCACAGCTTGCTGAACAGCACGGGTATCAGTGGACACATCCTGGTCTGTCACACACTGTTCCCATAAAATAGCACTGCTGTGTTCCTCTCCTGTGTTTATAGTACTGTTGCCTATAAAGTCTCAGGCTCAAGCAGTTATGAGATTGATGGTTTTAGATATGTGTCTCCTTGCTGGATAATAAATAACCCTCCTCTGGATCCCAGCTTCTATCCTAGACTGGAGCAAGCTGATGACTCTGTTCTCATTTACAGAGGAAGGGATCCTTCAAGTCCAGGTGCTTTATGTAATTTCTATTAGTACAACTGCCCGTGCTTACACTTTCTTAGATTCTAAACCCTACCCAGCCTCTCCCTCATACAGAGGGGAGCATATACATACATGTGTGTGAGCACAGACGCACATATGCGCACACACACACTAACACACACACAAGATAGAGAGAGAGGGGTGGAGGAGAGGGAGGGAAGGACAGAGGGAGAAAGGGGAAAGGGGAGGGAGGGAGGGCAGGAGGGAGGGAGAGAGCACTCATGGAGAAGAGAGGAGGAAGGGTGTGTCCTCTTACTCGATAACTTACTCATTGGGATAGGATTAAAAATAAGCACTTCACTTAGGGAAAACTTTATTTATGTTTAATTTTGCATGTATTTTCTGGTGTTTTGTAAACTTCGAGAATTTTAAAGGAATGTTAGTGGGTTATGGGTGGTTTTAATCCCTAACCTTTTAATTTGACAATAAAATAAATCTTTGGAGTGATGTTCCCTGGATTTGGGTATGTGTGTGTGGCTGTTAGTGACAATCCCGTGAGGGAGCCCTTGATGGAATAGTATAGTTTTTTAACATGAGCTTAACCCCAGCCTACCAAGTTTATAACCACTGTGCATAGTTTTATATTGCCATTCATAATTTTGTATTATGAAAGAGGCAGAGTTGAGTCAGAAAGAGATGAGACACTCACACTCAGATCATTCAATCTGGTGAGGGTTTGATAAAGAGAATATTTAGACTGTTTGAAGAGAGCATGGCGGGGAAACCACAAAGAGGACAAGGACCACAGAGATGACTGCCGACAGGGTACGAGGAGAGACTGGAGCCTGCAAGGGTCACAAGATTCACTAGCTGAGATGTCCTCCCAGCTAGGAACATACAGCTCTTCATTTGATTCCAGTCAATAATGGCCAAAACCAACCAAAAGTAGAACCCAAGGGTATTCCATAAAGGGCAACTTTGTACTGTGGGATGTAGGATCTGCAGTTTATCCAGGATACATGCTGAGTCTGCCTGTAACTAACTCCTCTTCACGGTTTGCACTGTTTTCATTCAACCCAGATGCACAGAGCAATGCGTTGTGTAAAGCGATTTTTTAAAAAAAATGTTAAAATGTGGAGGAAAAGTATATTGACTATAACTGAATGGACCCTCTAGACATTTAAACCTACAAATTAGTGTTGTGGAGACATATTTCTTAATCACAGTTTGAGAGTTTCTTTGGTCAGGAACATAAAAACATTGTAAAACAAAAGAGCTGCTTTTAAAAGCTCAAAAGTCACTTTTAAAAATATCTAATATTTTTAAGGCATTAGACATACTTGAGCAGCATTTACCACTATTATTTATATTTTATGTGTATAGGTGTTTTGCCTGCATATATGTCTGTGCACCACACGCATGGAGTACCCATTCACAGAGGCTGTCTGATTCCCTGAAACTAGAGTTAGACACAGCTGTTGGCCCACATGTGGGTGCTGGGAACTGAGTCTAGGTCTTCTGTAAGAACAGGGTGTTTAACCATGGGGCCATCTCTCTACCCCTGAGACATCAAATCTTGAAGGCAGTCTTTATACCATGATATTTAGTGAAACTTGGGTCTGAAGTTCTGATGCTTTTCAGTTCCCTAACTAGACACATCCATATGAATGATTTGTTCACTTTCACATGTATACAATTTCAGAAAGTTAAGTATATATAGCAGGGAAGCAAGAAACGTACTCTTTGATTGTAATGGATACTGTTAACTAATTTCAGATGAAAAATAGCAGTATGTCAAATGCACTTGTAAAGTACTCATAACACCTTCTGTAATAGGTAAACGAGAAGGTCATTAAAAACGTTATGGGGGGTACAGTTGAGAAAAGCACAATGAAAGGGACTGTAGGGATGAGAAATAATGGAGAACACTTACTTGGAGCACCGGGTGCATGTTCCATGAAAGAAATGAAAGTCCTGTTCTACAGTGATCTAAAAATGTGTGTGCAGCAGAATCAACTTTCCATACACTGCTATTGGGCCGTGGGAGTGAAGAACATTGGTGAACCTATGTACACTGGCTTTGTTTGCCTGCCTGAATGTTTGTCCTGCTGCAATGGAAGTGGCTTTTTACCATTAGTCATAGGAAGATCACGGAGGAGGTGTAGACGGGCTAATTGAACAGGGTACAAAATCTGTCTGAACTCTCTGTGTGGACCCAGCCAGGAAATCGGCCGGAAGCCTGACTTTTCTCCTGTCTGCAGCTGAGAGCAAGAAAGGAATGGTGGCAGTCATCACTTTATTCTTTGTGGAGCATAGAGGTGATTTCGTGTTGTCCTTATTTGGTATCTGCCTTAGTTCACTTAGTGTACTGTCATTTGGGTTCATGCAGGGAGAAGTTGGAGGTAGTAGTTTAAGGATTCAATGTTTCAGTCATGAAAAATGAGTAAGTCCTAGAGATCTCCTGTGTAGCAAGGTCTCTATAGTCAGCAGTGCTGTGTTAGACACATACTGTTTTGCTAAAAGAGTAGATCTTATGTAAGCTAGTTTACTCCCCACCTCCCCTCTTTCTTCCCTTTTCCTTCTCCCATTTCTTTTCCTTCCTTCCTTCCTTCCTTCCTTCCTTCCTTCCTTCCTTCCTTCCTTCCTTCCTTCCTTCCTTCCTTCCTTCCTTCCTTCCTTC